TATAGATAGATGTTTGTTACACTTTCATGCAAAAACTACCATATTTTTTTTTAAAACCGTTAAAAAAATTTAGTAAACAAATCGATTATATCCTAAGTTAACACATAGTACGATAAACCAATAAACTGAGTTGTAACTTTTTTGTGTTGCTATGCTATGGTAGGAAAAATTTATGTTACTTCTTTTATGTATTTTTCTTTTTTTTTTTTAATGTATTCTTTTATTTTTTTTATGTGTATATCTTATATATTTATCTATCTTTTAAATTTTATGATCTGATGCTGCTTAGTAGTTTGTATTCACACAAATTAATTATTTATATAGTAAAAATCTTTTGAAAAAAGCAACAGATGAGTTTCTTGCCCGTTCTTCTTGGCTGAAATTGCGTTCCGAATGGGCTGTAATAAAGAAATGACTATTCAAAAATGCTTAAATCTACTATTATTTGAATAAATGTATTTCTTTCTTTCTTTCGATCTACGAGTATTATACGTATGAAGTCACGTGAGCAAAACCACGGGATACACCTAGTATATTATAACGAGCAATTGAGCGGCGTAACAAATTTATAAATGTAACAGCACAGCGGTTACTTTCCGGACATTTTATATAGTCAACGCTCAGTTATAGCTGTTGGTAGCCGTTGTGATGCGAGATTCGCTTTGGTTCGTTTAATAACACCAACAAAAAAAAAAAAACACAAAAACTTTGAAATGATTATAATGGGTGAACCGTTTTAGCATATTCTAATATATCGATGAGTTCTATTAGGGTTCCGTACCTCCAAAGGAAAAAACGGAATCCTTATAAGATCACTTCGTTGTCCGTCCGTCCGTCAAGACCCTTTTTCTTAGGAACGCGTTATTAAGTTGAAATTAATATCAGACCTGCAATCTCTAAAACAGTGAATAAATCAAACTTCTAAATCGATGCAGAGTAAAAGATACAGCCATTTATGTTCTATTTATGTCGCATATTTTAACATTCGTATAGGGAATCAATACCTGTACGATACGAGTACTTTCCGTTGACCTAAAATCATGAAATTTTGCTAGAAGCAATGCCATTTAGCACAAGTAAAGGAAAAAGTCCGAAATCTGTAAATGGATAGTTATTTCACAAAAAAAAATATAATTTTATACGGAACCCTCATTGCCCGAGTCCGACTCACATTTGACCGGCTTTTTTTATTATAGTATGACATGTGACCATCCTGAAAGAACACAGTGATGACATGGTCTATGAATACGACCAACCGAAAAGAGAGCGTTCCAGTCTCTACGGTTGGCCGCCCTATGCCAGCTTACTTTTTTTTAATGATTGATAATGGAATAGTAACCCTGCCTGCGCTATCGGTATACGCTGGCAGGATACCAGTGAGAGATGATAAGTGAGAATGAAAAGGCAGGTCAGTTAGCTCAATGCAACAAAAACTTCAAGAATACATCACAATGGTTTTCAGGGGCAACCGTAAGGAGATTGACAAATCAGGATGTATCGCTAGCAAATGGAGGAGATATACCAGAGGGAGACTTTGTAAAAAAGTCGATTGCTTGGGTACCTCTGTCCCATTCGTGTTTCTACCGTGAAGCAGTTGTATTTGCATGGCTGTGTTTCGGTTTGAAGGGTGGAATATGGCCTGAATTTACTGGGTACAGAGTAATAACACCTGAGTCCTCAGGAATAGCAACGCATGGGTGCTATCGTGGGCGAAACAGTATACTCTGTTATGTCCATGGTACTGCTCATGTATATAGGCGACGGTTACCACTTTCCATCAGGAGGGCCGTCAGCTTGTTTGCCATTCTAAGTTGTATAAAAAGAAAAAAAAAGATACTCGTACTCTGTATTGTTTCGTCCAAAAGATTACAATAGTAAACTTATTATAAGTATAATATAAATAATAACAAGATTTATTGTTAAATTCAATCACGATAGGTCACTGACCTGCTGTATCCTCACCTATCATCCCGCCACTGTATATCAACAGTGCAGGCGCGGTTACCATTCCATTATTGTCCATTAAAAAAAATAATTATATATTATTTTAGATCTATGATATACAATATCGGTCTATTCTATTTTTAAATAGAGCTAAAATATCTAGATTTTAATGCCTTCCTGCTTTCTAGAATACTTCAACAATGACTCAGCGTTATCAACAAGTAGGTATTTTCTCAGTAAATGATTCATAATAGATAGATGTGAACACCTACTTAGAATAATTATAGAGCCTACAGTTTCTATGAAGATGTTTATTTGGATGTTTAGATTGCTAGTTAATATCTATTGTGCCGCTGACTGCCCCATCACTGATTACAGTCGTGAGGACTGATTTATTAACCGACTTCAAAAAAAATGAGGTTCTGTGTTCCACCGTTTATTTGTATTAATATAAGTTCACAAAGGAGGAGAGAGTTGTAAATTCGCTTATTTATTTTGTATGCGATATTTTTGCTAATTCAAAACCGTTTTTTTTAAAGTAATTTTACAAACAATTTACGGTTCGTTCCCATGTTTATTTAGTTCCATTAGTTATTAATTTTGCCATGATTAGAGTAGATGTTTATTTTTTAAACTGAATGTATTTTGAGCTGGTACTGAATGGATATAAATGAATCCTAAATTAGCTTATATGATATTTATTACACTAAAACTATAATACTAATATAGACAAAACCATGGGACACAGCTAGTTGGATTATAATTTACAAAAACTGCTTGATTGCAATTAAATCAAATTTTCATCAAGGGTTCCGTACTGTATAGTATTGGCACGGTGCCCCCATGTGTGTGAGCTTTAAAAGCTTTGAAAGTTTACTTTTTTTTTCTACGACATTTATAATTATGAACTTTATTATATTGCCTGTGTTATAATTACATGATAATTGTTGTTTTTAAATATTATTTTGTTTAAGAGCAAATTTGAAAGACAAGCATTGTTGAAATGACAATAGGATCTTATCGAACCATAAAACCGAAATACACTCCTAAAAAAAAATAACAGTCGCGTGACAGGAATGAGTGAATGGATGAGTACATTTGTATTTTCTTTTTTTTGCATTATACAATATTGAGAATAAAAAAAAAGCAATAAGTGTGACGATATAATTGTACAAGTGTACAAGTATTGAATGGCGTTCATTTTTTTTTTAATCAACAAAAGAAAAATATTACTAAGATTGTACGACAATAAAATAGTACTGAGTACTTTCCTAATTATTTTAAAAACTATTTGAAATTTTTCCTAATATAATATTTATTGTTTTAAGTAGATATTGAATAAAATATATTGACTCCTATTGGTGTTTGTTACTCTTTCACGCAAATAATACTGAATTGATTTGAATGAAATTATGGTACACGGATAGGTTATATCCTAACTTAGCAGATAGGATACTTTATTACAGATTCACGCGGGCAAAGCCGCAGGATACAGTGAGATTCAATGAGACATGCTTATACTAAAGTAATCAAATTATAAATATAATTGTGAGAGACCGGTGCCTGAGATAGGTATAAGAATACCTGTGTTAAATTATTATACAACCAGTTGATAGTAAATAAATATTGAAGGGATTTTTTGTATTAAAAAATTTTGAAGTTAGATACGTACATACTGTAGGTACGTTTTGTCTGAATAATTAAATTATATATTAACTGTACCGACACAAAGCAAAAACAAAAATTTCTACCATATTATATATGAAATTGAGTATCTTCACGCCATGATTTTTCTGGGGTAAACTAAACTCAGTATTAATTGTATGCAATGAATAAGATTATAGAAACAACTATAAAAATTCAATTGAAAAATTTATTTCAAAATAGAATCCATGGCCGATGCAAAAGTAATGTCTCTTTTATGTATAATATTTAAATTAAATAGGCCATAAAATAGCGAGCTACCGTGGTTTGCTAAAGTGTAGAATATAAATAGACGCAAAATTGTAGGCAATTCGTTTCGTGTTTTATTATGTGTCTAATTAAAACGTATAAGTAAGTACATATCTCTTTCTCTGTTTCACATCGCGAATTAAGCAGAGATAGAGGATCGCGAGTCATTTTGAAAGGTTCAATTGTATTTTTAGCATTTCATTATCATTATAAAAAAAATGTAGTTAGACAAAGAAATTATTAATACGAAAGCCACTCGATTTCGCCTCACTTTAATTTGAAATCTAACACGAAGATTCTTTGCCTTCACTTCGGTCAATTAGATGCATTCCTCTGAGTCATCCACCTGAGACTTGTATTTTTATTGGCTGTTTGCATTAAATATCTCAACAAAGATATATTTTTCATGCAAATACGAGGCAAATGTATCTTTATCGCAACGGTATAAAGTTCATATTGTTGCTTTATGCCTATTTTGCAAAATTCTAAATACAAAGTGGTTTCTTACTCGAAAGTGAGGCAATAACGTTTCGAAATCACCTTGGTAATGACGAAGAAACGTAGCGATGGTAACCATCGACGTGACGTCATATAAAATTCGCATACTAAAAACAAAATTCAATTGTAATAATAAATGAATAAGATAGATAATTCTTTGTACTTCAATCAACGTCTTGCCGCCTGTAGAAAATGCCTAGAAACGAGACGACACCGCCGCATTTTTTACGGTAGTTTCGTTTATAATTATTAACGGGTTTTTTATGTTGATTCGCCTGAAAATGCTCGTCATTATGCCCAGACAAATTTATAGGTTCATAAGAATCGCACAGGAAAACGGCGCCGGCAGACGTCTGATGTCGAAAAATATTCAAAAACCAGTTTGAGTTGCTTTTGTTCAGTGATTCGGTGGGGAGTTCGATGACCAATGCAAATGTGATATGGGTAGTTGTGCGTGTGTGCGAATTTAGGTGCGAGGGTGTGGTAACAAGGGAGGGGGTGAGGTTGCAGCCTGCAGCGGTCGTCAACCGCCGCCGTGATTAACGCGTGACTCACCGCAACTCTTTGTCTCCACGCCCACGTCCTCCTTCGTGCTTTCTACGTACCTTCTGACACCCTGGTAACTCATCCCGCTGCGGCGCCTGGAGCTCGACTCGACGCCGTCGCCACGTGTTCGCACAAAACCACGTGTTCTACCGTCTGGAGCACTTTGTAGTAACACGACGGGACGATAACCGCCGACACGGTAAGTGTACTCCAACAAGCGCCTGGAACCATCAACACCAGAGCACCTGATGAAGTACAATGGGCGTGCGGCGGTTACGGACATGGATCGGTGTGGTCTCCGGCCGGTGGTGGAGGAGGCGCCGCGCGCTACTTCAGGTACCTGACTCGGTGAGGACAGCCCTGGCGCCGGAGTAGCGCGCGGCGCCGCCGCCTGCTCCTATTTATAGCGCGTGCCGCGGAACGCTGAAGCGTACATCTCCGACGACGATCGGAGCTCGACTGCACCTCGAAGCTGTGGCCACGTCCCCCGCGCGTCCCCAGACGTCAGCTGACCGCGGCTGCACCGGCCCTGACATTGGCGCGCCCGCCGCCGCGCGGGGGGCGAGGTCGCTGACCCCGCCCGCGGAAGCCTCCTCGCGAATATGACGCCCCCGCCGCGGACGTCGCGCGTTGCCCCTCTCCGCGGCGCCGCACGCCCCGTCTCCCGTCACTCATCGTACTGTGACATTCACTAAGTTCGCCCGTTGTGTATTTTTTTTTTTTATTTTGTCCTCAAGTCAGCACCGCGATGCCAGATCCAGTGGTGGCAGAGTGAACCCAGCGTCGGCTCGCCGCATCGTTCCTTGTCGTTTTATACAACATATTGTCTATGAGTCACTTCACCGGTTTGCGCTTAGTATTTGCATTGAAGTTTATCTAAAGCCGGCGCCGTGAACGACGTACAGCGACACGAGGCCTGGGTCAATAGCAACTTACACATAATATAATCAATCTCATTATCACTGTTGTGACTCGCTATCAGAATGACTTCACGGGGTTCTGAACCAATCCGTGTACAGCGGTTATAAAGCTGCCGTCATCCTGTGTCATACCATTATTCCACGCACGGTTCTAAATTAGGAAATGAAACAATACACATAGGCACCTGTCTTACAATGATAACATCTAGAACTCTCACTCAAAACTTTGTGAACGTGAGGCTCGTACTAATAATGATTTGTACCGTATTGGTTAATAGAATTGTATTGTGACCTCGTGGATTGATAGCTGCGAATAATTGATATGTTATATGGAACTTAAACGCGCAGACAATAAGGTTGATTATTAAATGTATATATTTTAATACTATATCTATTGTTCTTCTAAAAGTTATTAATTTACATTATTATCAAAGATATATAACATCCCATTGGTAAGCACGAGTTTCTTCCCGTCACAGTAAGATGTAAGCTTGCTTTTATCACGTTTACCAACCTCTTGGTTGGCACTTTATATCAACTTTTCCTTATCGCATTGTACTTTCTCCCCTGGGTGGCTTTTACGATATTTTGACAACGAAAGGGAATGATAACACATTGTATTCAATACTGCACGAAGTACAAATGTGTTACATGAGTTTGCATTAACTGACCATTGCGGAATATAGGTCTCCACCATAAGGTCTTAACAGGGGAAGATACAAAAGTCGTTTGCTTGGGTGCCTCTATCTCCTTCGTGTTTCTACGCGAGGAGGTCGACCTGGTTGGGTATATTGCTAGCAATGGGATTCTCAGTCTCCATTACTAACAATCCCCTTTCCCTGAGCTATGTACGTTATGTAATTATGTCATCTTAAACAGTTAACAAGCAGTTGTGTTTGCATAGCTATGTTTCGGCTTGAAGAGTGGGATATGGTAATAAATTTACAGGGTACAGAGGAATAACACCTAAGTCCTCAGGAATGGCTACGCAAGAGGGGGCAATATTACCCGTACGGCACCCAAAATGCGAAACTTCAAAAAAATTCAAAAAAATAAATATATAAACAAATAAAAATAAAAAAAAATATAAAATATATATACACATATATATTTATATATAATAGATTAACACAAGGGGCAAATGAGCATGCGGCTCACCTGATGGTAAGTGACTACCGCCGCCCATGATCACCCACAACACCAACGCGGCATAGCAGGTGTGCTGCTGGCCTCTTAAAAAGGAACATCCTCTTTACTTGAAGGTTACGATTTCTTATCTTTACTCTTTTACATGTAAAATATAATTTAAATTTTATAATAAATTTTAAATATAATTTGTTTCTACCGTGAAGCAGTTGCGTCGCTATGTTTCGGCTTGAAGGGTGGGATATGGCAGTAAATTTACAAGGTATAGAGGAATAACACCTGAGTCCTCAGGAATGGCAACGCATGGGGGGTATCATGGGCGAAGCAGTATACTCTGTTATGTCCATGGTACTGCTCATGTCTATAGGCGACGGTTACCACTTTCCATCAGGTGGGCCGTCAGCTTGTTTGCCATTCTAAGTTGCATCCAAAAAATTGTGATTGCTATATTGCTTTACAATTACAAATAATATGAAAACCACAGTAAAACTTTTGTATGTCTGTCTGTATGTTCGTTATAGAAACAAAAACTACTCGACTGATTTTAACGAAAACTTAGTACAATTATTCTTCATACTCCTGGGCAGGTTATAGTATACTTTTCATCACGCTACGATCAATAGGAGCAGAGCAGTGAAGGGAAATGTTGGAAAAATGGGAGAAGTTACTCCATTTTTAAACTACCGTCGCGTGTGCAGCCTTAATGGCCACTTTTTAAAATGTAAAAATGTCCACCCGTGCAAAGCCGAGACGGGCCGCTAGTTTAATAACTAAATAAATTCACTGATGTAATTGGTATAATAATGAATAATTGCCTAACAATATTGTAACTCGTCAATTCGACCGTTTTAACCGCTTAAAAGTACTTGTAAACAAGTATATTTAAATAAAGATTATTTCTTATCTTATCTTTTAAAAACCACAACATGGTACCTAGAACGACAGACCTTAATAATAGTTACTAAGTAACCTTTATTACTGCCATGTGATTACGACGTACAATGGGCCACCCTTTCCTTTCCTGTGAGTGTCGTAACAGGCGACTAAGGGAACTTAATAGTCAAGAAATGGGCAGCAGTGTCCTTCTTGAAACACCACTAAACCCTAACATAGTTCATTGGGGGGAAAGGGATTGTTAGTAATGGAGATTGAGAGTCCCATTGCTAGCAATATACACAACCAGGTCGACCTCCTCGCGGTTCCCCTGGAAACTATCATGGTTAATTCCTGCTGAATTCATCATGATGGGCTAACTGACCTGTTTTCATTCTCATCTATACATACATACATACAAAAGTACTTTTGATTGATTTTGCTAGTCAATAGTACTTTTGACTGGTTAAGAGTTTTGACTGCAACATATATAATCATAGAATTAAAAAAAAATACTTGTGTATTCTCAAAAGAAAAAATGTATTGTCTGTAGTCAATCAATTGGAACGCCTTGACCACATACAAACTTGTAAGTGCATTGTAAAATTAAAAAGTTTGAGAATCCTTGCTTTGTATATAAATTTCAACAGCAAGTATAGATAGCACTTTAGTTATAATTTAGAACCACTGACTGCTCTTAAATCCACATTGTTTAACCAGTAGAGTAATCAAAGGGGTATTATGTTTATTAATATTTTGCGTCAGGGGTGTTCTTCTCTACAAATCTGTCCGATTCTAGAATAAAGGCATACGGGTATGCGACCCCAGCCTCCCGAGCCGCTACAGTGTCCCAGTCCTTTCCGCAACTACAGTGTCCCCCCATTTCCTTTCCCACATAAGTCCCTTATTCCTCTCATTTACTAATTTCCTTTACGCATTTCCAACGTTCCCTTCCTATTTTCCTCAATCCTTTTCTCCATACCGTAGGTGGCGGAGACCACCAATAAATGCATTCCCAAAGAGGGTTGACGTCAGGCAGGTGGCCGGTTGTAAAACTATAAACCAAATCTTTTTGTAATATGGATAAAAACATATTACGGCGACCCCAAATGATTGGGACAAGGGTAGGAAGATGGATATTTTGCGAAACAAAAATCAGTCAACATCTTATCGGATTAAATAGGATATTGTAAATGGAATAACTTAGCAATTTATCACTATATTATCATGTATATCTAAATATATATATATGTACTTATATCAAAGTTTAAAATTTTGTAGATTTCAAAAATTTAAGATTTTAAAAATGTCTTGTACACCATAGACGTCATTATATATTTTTTTAAATTACATAAAAAATACTAATAAAAATAATAATATTAGAGAATCTCAATGAATTTATGAAAAATAAGTCTCTCGAATAATAAAGAAAATCATTATTAAATTTTTATTCATAAATAAAAAATAAAAAAATATATTTTAATAATTTTAAACTGATTTCAAAAAGAATGAAGTTCTAAATTCGGTTGTGTTTTTTTTTATGTTTGTTACTCCATAAATCCGTCAATAGTAAATCGAATTGGAAAATTCTTTTTTTTTATCGCAAAGGATATACTTACAGTAAAGTGCCACAGAAATTTTATCAAAATCGGGATAGTAGTTTAATTTCTAGACCAAAATAACTGGTTTTATCACAATTGAAATGATTTTTTTTTTGTGGGACAATAACTATAAATAAAAATAGGATAAATGTAATTCGAATCATATACACGTGTCTCGTGTCCGATCAATCGATCGAATCACTCGACTTGACACGTGGATAGTAATATTAGTTACATGGCGTCGTGAAACCGTTGGCAGTTCCTTTTAATTGATTACTGAATAAAATAATACTGATTTCATTTATTTTTAACTAGCTTTTAATCGCGACTTTCGTCCACTCGAACGGGATATGTCGATTGATCGGGATATAGAAGTAGCTTATGTCCTTCTCCGTCGTTAATAATACGTACATGCTAAATGACATGACGAAATAATCGACTGAGTCGTTAAAGAAGTCCCATAACATTAATTAGTAAACAAATTTAATCGCAAAAAAATAAAAATAATATCTTGTTTTTAATCACGCACGCACGCATGCACCCACGCACGCACGCACGGAAGCACGCACACACACACACACACACACACACATAAACCCGCAACCGTTACTTTTCAACCAATTTCAAAAAGGAGGTTCCTGATAAGGGGTTGTAATGGGATCTAACAGCCTAACACATCTTAGAAGAAGTGGTGACACGTCATCTCATTTGTCTTGTTTATTTTTATTTAAACTGTCAAAAAGATCTAATAAAATTTACCAGATGGTGATAAAAATGTCAATAAATTAGCGAGGAAATAGCACACAATTATTATTCGGCAAATCTTTATTTCACGCGCGCACACGCAAGGTGACTCACTGAGAAACTGCATAGACGAGCGATATTAATAAATTGATTTCTAGTTTCTTTTGTTTTTCTAATATACATAGAA